TGGTGAGACCTAGATCTATGTGAGCCTGGAATGTTCGACAGCACAATGGGCAGGTTATTCATTGGCCTTGCTTTTCTTCTCTGGCGATGGGCAGGACACATCTGCAGAATGGAACTAATGGAAGACCACTGCATCCCAAAACGACTCTTGTATGGCCAACTAAGCGATGGAAAGCGCTCACAAGGCAGTCAAAGATCTAGTAGTAGAGTAGTGTGGACTGAATATGGCCGTTAAAGCATCGGAAAGGAGAAAATTTATAATCTGCTCCTACTCCAAATCTGCATTACAAGCTTTGGGGCGGATTAAGACTGACATTCCATTGGTACACAAGAGCCTAAAGCTTTTGGACCAAATAACAGCCGACCATAGGGATGTCCCCTTCATCTGGGTCCCCTCCCATGTGGGCATAGAGGGAAACGAAACCGCAGACAGAGAAGCAAAGAGAGCCCTAAATCAAGCAGTGCCAGGAACCCAAATTTCCTGCTCGGACCTGAGACAACGTATTGCCTCTGCCACCTATCGAGAGTGGCAGGATCGATGGGAGGCTAAGACTCACAACAAACTCAGGCAGATAGTGGCGGATGTCAGGTGGCGATCCACGTCTAAGTGTCTGACAAGGCGTGGTAGCACGACCATGTCCAGACTTAGGATTGGACACACCTACATCACGCATTCCTTTGTGCTAAAGAAAGAGGAGCCTTTGTGACTACTGTGACTCTCGCCTCACGGTGGATCATATCCTCATTGATTGCCCCAGATACCAGGATGTTAAGGAAAAAATTTTTAGAGCACACAACTTTAAAACACTATTCGACAATGTCGACCCAGGGAAGATACTGGGCTTTGTCTGGGAGGTGGGGTTGACTACGAAGATCTGATTTGAGAAATTGTGACCCTATAATTTTTACTAATTATTAAATTTTTACTACCTTTACTATTTTAACTCTGAATAGACCTTGTTTTTAATTATTTAACTGTATGGAAATTAGCTCTTGTAAAGGAGAGTAATCCTTGAAGGATTACGGGCACGACATGGCCTAAATTGTGCCAAAAACTCAAACTCGGTCTTCAGTTTATGTTGGCCTCTGAAAGAGTCAGTTGGAGAGCTCTCACAAAAGCCGCTTGAAACACATTTGAGACCCAGATGCAGAAGACAACAAGAAAAATTAAATAGACCCCCAGCGGACAACGGCTTTGTCTTCATCAAATGTTGGAAAATATGCAGGTCACAACTGGGTTTGCATAGTCATGTGAAACACCGTTTACTCATTCTTAATCGAAGGCATTACTGTTATTATTATTAAATTTGAATAAAGGACTTTACTTTAAAATAAGCAAATTTTTTTATATTTTAATTAATTAGCCTTGAGTGCTTCAAAACTAACTCTTGCTTTACATATTTTGTAGTTTGTTTTTTTCATGGTATTAAATTTGTAAATATAGTATAATTTTATTTTTATTCACAGAAAAACTCTGAAGACAAATACCCTGTTGGCCCTGCATTGATGGCTTTGTTTCTTTTTGTTGTTTGTGGATCAGGTAAGAGATATTTTATTGCTTCTGTCAGTTGATTAGTTACCTTATACACTATATATCAAATATACATTTGATAAATTATTATTGTAATAAATTTTCGTTCATTAAATAAATTATCAGTGTAAAGCTTTTTATGTTTAGCGTAAGGAACGTACTTGAGCAAGGGGCATGAAATTCTCTTTCATTTTTAAACATAGGTACCGTATATGGTAAAGCCCAACTATTGTGTGCACATTATATTACTTAAAAACTAACGAAGAGACATTCTTAAAAAAACAGTTCCTCTACCGCCAACCTCCTCATATTGCAGGCACACTGCAAAGTAAATCAAGGTTTAGCCTAAAGGATACAAACAACAACAACAAAAAAAAAATCCACAAGCCATTTTACTCTTATAAGTTTATGTTGGCTAACAAACTTCTGCATTCGAAGACTTGGTTACTATATCACTTGGTTCTGTTTGCTCTTATCCCCATTAAAATCTTTTCCAAATTTTGAATATTTTTGCCTTTTTATAGTCTCAGCTACTAGGTGGCTTAAAAAATGATTTCATTTAATTCGTCTTATCTGGGGGGGGGGTCATAATAATTATGTAAATGAAGGTGGCCATAGTTGTTGGCTTATACAGATGTAGCGTATAATTTGTTGGTGTTTTTTTTTTATGATAAATGACGTTTTGAAAGAAGTGTATATATAGGTTTGTGTTGTTTTTTCCCCCCAATGTGTACTAACATTGCTATCTGACCAATAACTCATTTAGTTGTCCTTCACATATCGAGCTTCTGTGGAACTGGACATGCTTTTGTTTATTTTCAATTCCATTTCACTTGCCTATCAAACAGTTTTCAAAGGGTACACTTTCTTTATTAACTGAAATGAAATCTTCAATATTTTTTTTCAGCCGTCTTCCAAATCATACAGAGTATCCGCATGTCATGACACCTCCAGCTCAAACCATTCATTCATGTGAGAAGCCTGTTGGAAGTTTTTTTGTTTTACTTTTTTTTTCCCTCTTCTTGTTGAGATGAAAGACTGATTTGGTTGATGTGACTTGACAAAGAATGGACCTTGTAAATCTGTGTATGGGTGTGTACAAGTGAAATTAAGGAATAGACAAGTTAAACGCATTTTGACAGAAGTCGGAAGCCCAGAGTCATGTTCCTTAAAATGTGTGTAATATAATTTTTAAAAATGCAAATGAATACTTAAAAACAAAACAAAAAAATATTTTTTCTTTATATATTTGTGATTTTAACTTTTAAAAAACAATAGAGTAAACCTATTTACATATACAGGCCTTTTTTTCTGTATGGTGTTTCTTCCACTTTGTATTACTGTCTCTCCATCTTGGTGATGGTGAATATTTCTAGAAATGATAGAAATAATCAAATTATGTCTACCTATTACCTGATATAAACACACAAATATATCTATACAATGGTTTTGTTTTCTTCTGTTAAGGATTATGTTATCAGAATTGATTTGAAGCTTCTGGTCATTTATTTTTGTGAGTAATATACTTACAACTTGAATTGTAGATTGATGCTAATTTATACATTTTCTTTTTGTTTCCTGTATTTATTAAAAATTCTCTTTGACTCAGTGTCCTTGTTATGATGCTAACTTCATTAATCACACAAGTTATGAACTCTTTTTAGTTGGCAAGTAAGTTAGAGTTGGATGAGTTTCCATCACCGGGTCCAAAATAAAAATTTTATTGCCAATTGAAGTTTTTTGTGTGCATGTATTATTAGAGTTGTTAAAATGAAAAATGTGGGTATTAGTGGCGTCTTGAATTCAGTTTCTGGAGGTGCTCTGAATTTGATGATCTAAATTTTATCTGACTCCATGGATTTCAAGTACTTGAGGATATATACCAGCACAGACCTTCATAATTACTTGGCCATAGAAATTAGTCAATTTAAGATAACCCAATTCCCCCAAAAAGTAAAAAAAAAAATTCACTGCCAAAGTGTTGCTATATACTGATAGTTTGCTGCAATTGCAACCATTCATTATTCTAGTTGTTAATGTCTTAGATAATCTTCACCAAGATCATGATTTAATCTAATTATAGAAACATCATGTAGTAGGAAAGATAAGCCATATGTCAAATTACACACTGATTAAAGAAAGGGAAAGGAGGAGAAAATTAATAATAAGGGTAGTTAAACTACTTGATATTGAGTATCATGAACTATAGACATTAAGAGCAAGACTTTCTGTGACATCTATCTTTATATCTGATCACAGTATTTTATGACTGTTGAAGTCTGTGAGAAGTATAAAGGGTTGCTATAGACACAAAACATAATTAAATATACTTAAAAAAACAAAGCTTAATTTGAGTGAAATTGCATCACTTACTACGAATTAATGATGTAATTAGTTTTAAATAGATCTAGACTAAATAAATTTGTATGATTGGAAATATTTGTATTTTATTTATTGATTACATTTAGAGCAACTTTCATGCTTATAGAATGCTCGTAAATTTTGGTCCAATCACTTTTTTGACCAGTGTTGGGGGGAGGTATGTGGGAGATTTCTATGCTGCTTTTTTTAAAGTTGCTCGAATTCATACTCTGAATGACTAAATCTCAAGCCTCTCTGATAGAAGTCTGAAGTGTTAGCCACTGAGTTATACAAATACTTATAGGTCTAGAAATAGGTTTTATAGTCTCAAATTTTTAGCAATCAACCAAATTCTACACAAGGCTTACATTAGCTTATACATTTCTATATAAAAACAAAATTAAATACTAATTGGTTAATTATACTACTTTATGGAGCAGAGACCTGGATAACCACAATCACCATCAAAAAAATCCAGGTATTCATCAATACCTACCTGATGATTCTTATGATTCACTGGTAGACAAGATCTCGAATGAGGAATTGCTGCAAAGAACAAAGCAGCAGCCCATTGAAGTAGATATCCTTCATTGATTGATCATACCATACCTGGTTAAGGCGCAACGCTGACAGTCTCCCACAGAGTGAGGAAATGTATCATTCAGTTCTTGCCTTAATGGACACAAGTTGCCCACTTCAAGGCCATTTGTGTTAAAATGGCTGCTGGTCATCTTGTACAAATTTTCTGACTTTATTAAATTATTTAAATGTTGAAAAAGTTCATCCAGATAAGCTGGAGTGATGTGTGTGCTTACTGACACTTTTTTATAAGACTGCCCAAGGAGTGCAACAGCTCCTAACAAGTTATCACACTTTTTATTTATACACTAATTTAAAGATATAAGGTATTTCAGGACATTTTTTGTATCAACCTGCAGTACATTACACGACTTCACAATCTCTGTCCTGTAATTTTACCAACAAAGATATTTTGTTAGGTTTTGCAGAACGTTACAAATTAAGTCACACACCCACAGCTTCATTCACACAAAAAAAAAAAAAAAAAATATACAGATTAGCCCACTGGTAATGAAATGAAGCAAAGCGCAATTAAAAATGACAAATTTTTTATTTTGTGACCTCTGGGATTTATGAGGGACAGTAACAAGAAAAGTTCAACATTTCATGAACAAAAAAAAAAACGTTTCTGAAAATGCTTGAAGTGCTGCTGCCTTAGTTTGATTTTAGCACTAAGAAACAACTGAGGTGTCCATGTGTTATCAGAATCTTTCATATAAAGAGAACATGTGCATTATAAATCTTGGATTTCTGCATGAAGCCAGTCTTAATACTGAATAGATTTACCCCAACAAAATAATCAGCACAACTGAACACTCAGTTGAAACAAATAACCTGCACTGATCTATTTAAACTACCAATCTAACTGCTAACTGAGTTGAATTTAGCAAAACTCATAAAAAGAACTAGATTAAAATAAACTTACCAATGGCTTCTGTAATTTTTTTAATTAACAAACTACTTAAATAATTTAAGAAACAAATAAATGAGCAAAATTAAATTTGTATTGTTTTTTTTTTATTGGAATGAGCCTAAACATAACTGCCAAACTCATAATAAAAAAAAAACATTCAGCAGTGTAATATTTGTATTTTTGGGCATAACTTTTATTAGTAGAAGAAATATAAATGACATCCCCCTTTGTGATGAAGTAACAATGTATCCCAAATGTAAAAAGTGTAAAATGCATCACATTTATAAAGTAACAAATGAATAACTCAAACAGTGTAGCTACGTATTTGAAGTCTAGAATATTTCTCTTCAATTCAACTTAAATCATGATAATAAAAAGAAAATATAAGACTGATTATTGAAACAACACCAATGCATAAATACATTCTATAATCATAATATCAGTTGTTTTTTTTTAAAACAGCACACATCCAAAACAATGTAGAGCTTCACTCATAAGAAAAAAAACAAAATGGAGAACCGGTACCCTAATCAAACAGTGGAACAAGCACAATCATGTACCAGCAGTTCATTTACTTTGTGGGTCTTAGTTTGGAAAACTTGTCTAGGAATAATTCAAGTATCTGTATCCTTAACATGATCAAACAATGTTGAACTAGAGATGAAGATGATAGGCTGAGATGTTATTCTAGCTCAACAATAACATCGCCTTCATTGACTGTGTCTCCTGACTTGAACAGCACTTTCTTTACCTAGGTCATAGAACGAACAGGTTACAAAGCATTCGTATTTAGGAAATGAAAGATTTGTCAAACTAATGATGGTCTCATTGTCTTGGTGAAGAGGTAATTTATGCTGATATGTGTATAAAATAGAAGCAGATGTCAGAATTATTCAAAGCGGGAAACAAACAAGTTATATAAGGGCGAAGTAATTTTTAAATGACCCATATCATAAACTATGGAGAGTTGAACTAGGAAGTCACTAAAAGGTAACCCAATAGATCAGATGAGAGAGGAAAAAGGAGGAAGTGGGTCAAGAAATGAAATTAGGTACACCTGTCACAAAATTGGGGGTGTTAGAGAGTGTGTACTTGAAGAAAAATGTGATGGTTGTCTGTTTATAAATGTGTAGATAGATGCCAAACTGTTGCTGGTTATAAAACATGGATCATGAACAACTGGAGTCTTGTTTAAATGTACTGTGCCTTTTTGTAATATATTATGCCTCTATTTTGAGCCAAGTCTGGTACCTCATTTGATAAAAGATTAAATAGGAAAATGGAAATGAAAACCATGTTTTTTTAAAAACGAGTTAATTATACAAAATTTTGTGGTTTCTGAGTTTTCAGACTTATAGAGTCAAAACAAATAGCATGGTTGAGGCCTAGTTTACAAAGACTTTGGTATTATTTTAAGGTAAGATAAAATTTGATTTTCAGTAACACTTTTCTGCACTAGATTCAGGGTAGTAGTGTTAAAATGTCTAAGTTATCTGATACTTTCATTTTACTTATTCTGGACTTTCTAAACAAAAAAAATTGCAATAGAAGTACCTATAAAACTATTTAGTTTTCACTAACAAGATATTGAAACACTAAGCAGTAATATTATGTACATTTTTATTCCCTCAATCATTTCCAATAACATTTACCTTAGCCACTTTAAGACTGACTAAACTGTTCTGCATTTTCATTGCTTCTAGAACACACACTTCCTGGTTTTCAGCCACCTGTTAAAGAAAAGTGTACAAGTGGCACAATTCAATTCTTGTAGAAACAAAAAAACTATTTGAAAATTGTTCTTGTGCCATTTTTTTTAAAACATTCATCTTAGGATCCTCTTCCAATAGATTTTATTGAAATGGAAAAAAAATAAAATTATTATTTACATTACATGTTGGCTCTAACAAGATCAAGAAACAGACATAGTCTAATGTATGTTATTTACCAGACTGTACAAGTGAGGTTGACTTTAGGTAGATGTTTGTGCCAGGTCAAACATAAAATATGCTAAAGAATTTAACCACCAACATCAACCTCTTTTGGTGTTATTAACAATGAAACAATTTTTAATTTTTTGCATGTAAGAATCAAATGTTAATATGTACCATGACTAATGACAAAGAAGTGGTGACAAAAAAAAAAAAGACGATCTTAGGATTAGACTGAAGATTTCATTAAATGACATTAGTTTAAATTGATGTTGTTGTTTTTTTGTTATGTTTTTTTATTACGTATCAAGCATTTTGGTTAATTGCAGTTAAAAAGTCAACACCATTTTCACACTTAACTTTTTTAAACTAAATAATAATCTTTATATCCTTATTATCCTTCAGGAAATTTGTTTTACAAATTGAGTATTACACAAAACAAAAACTATAGAAAACTTAAGGTGTGTTTATACCAATTTCAATCAAACATTACTTTTGTAGTTTACATTAAGAAAATTGCATTGTATTTAATGTTTTGATTGTGTTTGTTTTTTATGATCTTATTATCTTCTGTGATTTTAAAATTGTGAAAGTTGTGACCTAAAGGTGTTGTTTTTTTGTATGCTTAGAATCTTTTTAGCTTTATAAACACAAGAAACATTTAATCTAAAAAAAATTTTTTTAAAAAGACACATACACATATGTATACTAATGGCCTTGAGAAATTGTATGCTTTGTATGCTTAGAATCTTTTTAGCTTTATAAACACAAGGAACATTTAATCTAAAAAAAAATTTTTTTAAAAGACACACACATTCATATACAAATGAAATTGAGACATTGAGTCAACTTACCATATCACCAGCTTTAACACTGACAGATTTCAACAATCCTGGCATTGGAGCCAACACCATGGCACTCGTGTCCAAGACTTTTTTCTCAAGCATGTACTGACTAAGGTTAAATGCCAAATCATCCATAACTTTCACAGGGTACTAAAGGAGAACAAATTAGAGAATATTTACTATTTTCTGAACTTAAAAAAACCTCAAGCATTTATTTTGAAAATTTTTTTTAATGTTGATTTTTCTTTTTCAACAAAAAAATAATAATTCTGAGCATTAGCCACAAAACTCAATCATTTTACTTTAAGTTGTTTTTTTTAAATATGGCAAATTCAGTCATAAAATTAATGAGAGCCTTATTTACCCTAAAACAAGTTCACAAAATTAAAATTACAAAACATAGGCTAAACAGTTGGGCTGAAAAAAGAAAACTAAAAAAAAGTAGATTGATTGTCTATTTTTTATTTTTTAAATATTTGGACCAGCAATAAAAAAAAAAGACCACAAAAAATAAATATAAAGTATAAAATCCTAAACCCATTGAAACAGTTCATATAAAGATCTCAGGTGAAATGGTGAGAATGAACTATGACTGTTGGTTTCTCAATTTGAGTTTTTGTAGCCAGAAGAAGTAGGTTGAAATAAATGATTTAAAAAAAAGAAAAGACTTTATATCTGTACAATTGCTAAATTTGAAACTTCAGTGTACATTTTTTGGGGTAAATAGTACCTAGGTGTCATGTATGACATATTTATAGTTTTAGAACCCCTGTAATATTTGACTAGTAATCACTGAACCATTCCGTGCACGTTAGCACGAGATTTTTCCTGGTCGGGGACTGACCACGAGGTGGACACCTCAGTTGATTTTGGACTCTCGTAGAGAGAGGTTTATTATGGATATCTTGGCCAGTGTAGTAATGTATAGATATTAAGGTTGATTTTGGAGTATATGTGATATCTGAAGTATTTCATTGGATTATAATGCACTATGTTTTTGTGAATATTTCTTGATGGCTGGACTTGCCAACATCTTTTATGATTCATTATTATATGTAATAAAAACCATGTCTGCTACTAGTGAGTCTATTAATTATTCTAAATATTGTGGTCAAATTCAGCATGTTAGTGTTCTCATGCACTAGCAAATCTAGTGCGCGAGTGAAAGTATTTAACTAAGAATACAAAGAATATTATATTATCTACAAGAGGTATCTACATAACACGACATTCGCGTTATCACGCCTACAACAAGAACTAGGCTGTGACACTAGGCAGCATCATAGTAAATGATGGGGATGCCTATCATGACATAGCATGCTGCATTGGAAAGGCATTGGCTAGTAAATTAGGGCAAGCCTAGTCATTGCACTTGAGACAAAAATCCACCAATTAAACAACCATCCTTCCAACAGTGAGTCAATTATGTCGTCTGCAAAACTAAGACAGATTTTAGGAGTCAATTACAGAGGTCAGGTCACAAACAAAGAAATCAACCACTTATTGAAGATGTGACTGATCGTCACATGAGGTTTGCGGGACATGTCCTCCAGAGGATGAATCATGCATCCTAAGAGTTGCAATGACATAAAGGCTAATATACAAGCAGGAGGACCTCAGAGCAGGCCTCTACAACATACTGACATAATCTACACGTTATACAATATGAATGGCTCACAATGAACAGTCAATTTATAGTTAGTTTGGGTTCACAGATGTTTAGCCAGACCAAATACAGTTCATTCACTGAATATGAGAGATATGACTGAACAAGCAACCACAATGACTTATGTTGCCCAGTTAACCATTTATAGAGACACAGAAACCTTTAGTGCATTTATACTAAAGCTACTTTGAAATAAAGCATACTGAGAACTTACCACAGTCCCATGATAACGCAGATCATATTTACCACCACCAAGTCTATTGTGCACCTGTTAACAAACCAGATCATTGGACTGATACATGTTTTAAAATATTATGCATATAACTGAGAAGCAAAACAACAATTCAACAGAAAACAATGATGATAAAACAAGATTAAGATGTTACAAGATGTTAAAAATTTTTAAATGTCTAAAGAGCAAGTTTAATTAAGACAATATGTAATACCATTAGATCATATGAACAGAAGGATTTAAAGAGAAAGTAAGTGAAGACTGATGGAACCAGCAGACAACA